CACACAGCTGCTCCTCGTTCGTGAGGAGGGTGAATCGCACGTCACTCTTTGATTTCATTTTGAAAACATTTCTTATTTTTTCTTTTGTTCTTGTTCTAAGGAAACTGAAAGTTCAGTGAATTTATTGAGGAAATAATCACATTTATTCCTCGTTACAAGGAGCTCGACCCCAGAGTTACCAGCATCTGGTGTAAGGTTCAGTCCACAGAGACGCACTCTTGGCTTCCATCTGTTTGGTTTAATGGAATCTTTAATTCTGTTACTTTCAAGATTCAAATTGTTACTTTTTTTTGCAACATTCAGATTTTCTCAGAATTTGAAGTTTTTTGTTAAAACTGATTTCTGTGGAAGAACTTCACCAAGTCATCGTCCTGCTGACTCAAATGAACGAGCAGCCACGTGGCCTGATGCGCGTTAAAGGAGGAAGTTTGATTAAAGATTTATTTTTAGTTTTTCTGACAGATTTTTCTTATTTTCAGTCACGTTTTGTTTACCTGATATAATTGTTTCCATATTCATTTTTATTTTTGTAACTGTTGCTTTAATTGTGTTTCCAATTTTTATGAACTTTTGTTTCAAAACAAACAAATAACCTTAAACGTTGAGTTGTCGTGTGGATAAAAGAAAATGTTTTTGGAAATTAGATTTTCGTTTTCTTTTTTCATGTGATAACTTTTCATGAGTCTCTTCAATCAACACAACAAAGAAGAAAAACCTGACTGCTGATTCACGAACGTATCACTAATGAAGATACTGTACTCATGAAAATGTGTTGATGTCTGGTTTATGTTACTGGCAGCCAGTCCTTCCACTTCCCTGCTGCTCGGCCGGTAACGTTTGTCACATCGTTCCATTTTTATTTTCCTATTTAGTTGCCGAGGCCGGTGCCGATCTCCCAGCGCCTGTGACTCAGTGCTTTCAGCCTAACGTTCATAAAACACGTGAGCTTCCAACTATGATTTGTGGACTTTACTGTGACTCAGGTGCAGCGACTTCCCTACTGACTCACCTGAGTCAGAGGTGACTGTGTGTAAACAGGTGCGTCTAATGAGAGTTTTGTTTCCGATGGC